AAAAAATGTTTTAAACAAAATTTGTTTCAATTTCGATTTTGAATCAATTATCTTAATAAAATTTTTTTACATCTCTATTAATTAAGCATCTAAGTGTAATGAATCTAAGTGTAATAATCTAAGTGTAATAAATCTAATCTAAGTGTATATTATGTATAAAAAAAAAATTATTATTTTGAGGTTATCTTCTTAATTATTGATTAAATCAAAAAATTTTGTTAATAATATTTTTTAAGAATTACACCAGGAACAGTGTTTGTTAAAACAATTTTTTTCTAACTTGAAATTTTAATTTCAAAAAAAAATTAAATGTCATTTTGACAGAAAATAATTTAAAACATAACCTCGCAAATTAAATTTAATTCTCCGATAATTGTTTAATTATATCATCATCATTTCTTTGAATTAAACATTTTTTGAAAGTCTAAAGAAGGCATGTATATCGTCTGATAAAATTAATCATGAATTAGTAGAAAAATTCTTATGACATCATTGTTATGTTGAAATCAACCTTATTACATTACATTTATCACCAACAAAATAAGCCTTTTAAAAAGTACAATTGAAAAGATAAACAGTACTAATCACGTTTTAATTACATTTTCAGATTTAACATGGTTAAAACTTGAACGAAAAATAAATCAAATACTAAGAAAATGAAGACTAAGAAGAAACTGAAAGAAGATGAAAAGACAAAAGTCTTTTTAAGAGCGAAAATGAATCTTTTAAGCGTTTTAATTGCATCATTGGTGCTTTTGTCGAGCGTTTTGTGTATCGGAGGAACTCATCCGGGCGGTAGTTTTGTTCGGGATATTAGTAAAATCAGCAGAAACCTCGATAGGGCACTTTACAATGTGCTCGAAGACATCACGGGACCCGTTTATACCCCAGTCAATATCTCTTCCACTTATTATTCTTCGGCCAAATTTAATCCGAGAGGAATGGCGGGACTTTATAATATCACCAATATTTTTATGGACATTTTAATCAGCAAAGATATTTATCCGGAAGGTAAGAATTAAATTTGATTGCGTTTAATGACTGTACCGGAAGTGGTTTAAACCGGGAATCCAGATGTTTTAAATAAAAAAATAGAATTCTTTTGTTCCATTTGGATTCACCTTGAATTTCTTTTGAATTCGATGAGCTTTTTAAAGCGTGACCTTGCGCGATGTCGTGTTGTTGAGTAACGGTACCACAACATTTTCCTGTCGCTGTTATAGTAATTGTAAACGCATTCGAAATGTAAACAAAATCGAGTTAAAACGGAATTGATTTCACGTTTACTTCGAACATTGTTTTTATGATTTTATTAATTAATAAAATTTAATTATGATTGTTTTTTTTTTAAGGTTTAATCGAAGTATCAAAAGGCGAGATAAAATTGGCTCCAATCGAAGATCAATGGCAAACCCTTTTATCTCAATACGCCGGTCTTTTGGTGATTATAATAATCGTTTTATTGTTGGCGATTTTTATGCCAGTTTGTGGATTTTTCTTTTGTTGTTGCCGTTGTTGCGGTAAATGCGGGGCGAAAGCCGAACCGTTAGATAAGAAAAAGGATTGTTGCAGAAAATTTATATTGGCCACACTTTTAATTGCAGCTGGAACGGCTTTATTGTAAGTATTTTTATGACTTTTTATTATTTTTTGTCGTAACCTATCGTTTTTTGGATGAATAAGTTTGACCTAGAGATAAATTTCTTTTTATGTCACTTGGAAAGCGAGTTTAGCGCCATCTATTAGAATATTGGGGAAGTAACATACATAGTGGAAATGTGCTAAATGCTTTAAATCCTTATTAAGTTATTGTTAATAAGTTATTAATCGTATTAGTACTTGTTTAATGCGAAAAATTACTACATAAATTTTTTAGCAAATACTCATCATTTTTGTTAAATGGTTGTAAAAATTTTTGATGACTATTACAGATTGAATAAGTTTCTGGAATACCATGTTTAAGATCAATTATTTATGACTTTCTTAATAGTTATTGTTAGCAAATTCCAAATATAACTTTTAAGTGGCATTTAAAATGTTTTTGACGTTTCCTGCATTGTGGGAAGGTGCTCCATTCTGTTGGAACTACATTGCGACATATTTGTATTGGTACACCATCAAAATAATCTTCGAATTCTTTCAGAACAAAATTGGCATATCTCTCTATCCCAGAAGTACTCATTTTTGGTATTAGAAATTTTGTTATTATTCGAATTAGATTCATCTCTCAAAGTGTTAAATTTAACACATTTAGATTGCTATTCAGCCAATTACAAAATATCACTCTCCTGCCAAAAACACCATCTCTTAAATCTTGTACTAATTTAACTTTAGATGGAGTCATTTCATATTTTTTATAATAGAAAATGTTTTGTACAGACTTATTCCTATATCAGTCATTGTTTAAGATTGTATTCCAACAGTAATCAAGATCTTCCTCTTTTTTTAAATTTGTTTTTTCTTTCTGGTGTTGATTTGGTTTAAGTTGCAAGTGTAGGTGATAAGATAAGGATTATATTTCGTTTTATTATATTGTTTTTTATAAGTAATTAGGATTATTAGTCAATATGGAATTCTGTAGAAATAAACACGCGCGTGAAGTTGGCCATAGATTTCAGCCATAGATTTTAAACTGAAAAAAATGCGTGATCGGGGTATTCAATAAAAACGATTTTCCCGGAATATAAGAAATGGTTAGGAAAATTTTCTTTTTGAATCTGAAGTAAAAGGGTACCAGGAATACGATGCCGTTGAAATTAGATCGATTAGAAATCCCGAACAGGCCGAAATTTGCGAATGTTTGAAGAAAATCGGTTTTTCCGGAAAATAGGAAATGATTAGGAACATTTTCTGTTCCAATTTAGAGCAAGAGGCGATCAGGAATACGATGTCGTTGAAATTAGATCGATTAGAAACCCCGAACAGGCCAAAATTTGCGATTGTTTGAAGAAAAACGATTTTCCCGGAATATAAGAAATGGTTAGGAAAATTTTCTTTTTGAATCTGAAGTAAAAGGGTACCAGGAATACGATGCCGTTGAAATTAGATCGATTAGAAATCCCGAACAGGCCGAAATTTGCGAATGTTTGAAGAAAATCGGTTTTTCCGGAAAATAGGAAATGATTAGGAACATTTTCTGTTCCAATTTAGAGCAAGAGGCGATCAGAAATACGATGTCGTTGAAATTAGATCGATTAGAAACCCCGAACAGGCAAAAATTTGCGAAAGTTTGAAGAAAATCGATTTTCCCGGATAATAAGAAATGGTTAGGAAAATTTTCTTTTCAAATCTGAAGCAAGAGGCCACCAGGAATACGATGCCGTTGAAATTAGTTCGATTAAAACCCCCGAACGATCCGAATTTTGCGAAAGTTTGAAGAAAATCGATTTTCCCGGATAATAAGAAGTGGTTAGGAAAATTTTCTTTTTGAATCTGAAACAAGAGACGACCATGAATACGATGCCGTTGAAATTAGATCGATTGAATACTCCGATCACGCATTTTTTTCAGTTTAAAATCTACGGCTGAAATCTATGGCCAACTTCACACGCGTTGTTTTCTTCCATAACTTTGTACCACCCTTCTGGTGAATAGATCCGTAGCGCGTATTTTCTATGCCTCTTCTCTATTAAGGCAAAGTCACGATCAGATGGCAAGTGAGTATGTCCACTTCTAAAAAGTTCTCTCTAATTAACTGTAGCCAGAGAGATATTACGACCCAATTTTTGTTTTGACCTGGGTAGTTATCCGTAAATATTACAAGATCCTCCACACCAGGTTTAATATTTTTCAAAATTTTATCAAAATCACCTCATCCACTCCTCTATTCGTTAGTGCAATCATGAATACTCAGATTATAAAGTCAAATCTTTCGGCAGTAAAAAGCTGTTCCTGCTTTTATCTTACATTCTTCTACTTCGCTTTTTAATAAGCTTTGCATTGCAGCCGCTCTATTTTTGTGCAAAATTGACTATGTTTTTAGTTTCTGTAATTCCTGCTCATCCTTTTCATAAGCAACTGTACTGTTAGATATTTTCAAATTAAAATCGTCGCAAGTTTTGCAAGTGTCACATTTAGGTAATTTAAATCCAATATTAAATTCCGTACAAAACACAGTTTAAATAGGTTTTCTCAAAATTGTCAGTCCTGCAGTTTGAACTCCCTGATTTTTTTTGCTAACGAGTCCATGAACACTCATAAATTCGATTTTGCAAAGCCTTATGACATTGCCACCAGCAGTCACGAAATATTTTGTGTTAAAATGTCTGCTAGATTCTTGTTTAGTTTGTTTTTTACGATACGAACGTTTCTTAGGTTTTAACTGAATACATCCAAAGAGGTAACTATTCTGCAAGTCACAAGATCCTAGATCCCAGAATTCCTTAAATACTTTTTCATGACATCCTTCTAGGAAAGTCCTACATTTCTTTTTGCACGCACAAGGCGATCCCAATTCACGAGCTTATTGGTCGATTCACTTGTATACTTTTTCTTTTCGTTCTCACGTACATGTTCGTGTTTCTGTGCCTCCATTTAGATTTTGGAGCACACTTTGACTGGATTGCTATTTATTTCCAATAAAGATGCTAAAACAGTTGTTGGCAGAAAAGAAAAAACAATGCAAAAAGATGATTTACAATATTCTGAATCTGCATCGAGATCATAGACATAGACACATTAATCATCTTCTTCACTAATATCGTCGTTAATTTCACTGATTTGTCATTTGTCTTAAGCGCGCCGTCCATTTTGTTGGGTTGTCAGTTTCTAACCTGCAGATTTTAATGCTGCAGTGTTAATGTAAGAATGAGATTTTGGGACATGTTCTGTAAGAATAACTTTGTAAAAATTTTTATGCAGCTTGTCATATTATGGCATGATGAGAAAATAGCAAAATCTCATTTTTACAAAAAGTGTATTTTGTCACATTCTAGCAATTAGCCCTTCAAATAAAGAACATTTCTATCAATTTTGCCACATTCCAAAACTGAAAATAATATAAAATCTAACGTTTTTCCACTTTCTAGTGATTGGTACAAATTGGTTTAAGTGAATCATAGACGAGTCCTCAATCAGTAGCGCGATGGATGACGTTCCAGCTGATTATATAGGAAGTGACTCAAAGTAATCTGCTTAGTAATTTGCGTCACTGATCAATTTCTTTTCAGTAGCTTCGTGTGCAAATGCCCCAACACTTTCCTCCTAAAAAAATGTGACGCCAAATTGTGATAAAGCAATCCACACTGTTAGTTTAAAGGAATTTTGCGGTCTTTCGTGAAAATTTTTGGGGTTATGTTAAGCCCAGTGAGGTGAAAACGCGCTTGGTCATTACTAAAGAAAGCTGCGCCTAGAGTATTATTTTATTTTTTTATTTATTTATTTATTTGTCTTTGTATCCAGTTTATAGAAAGAAATTATAGAGAAATTAATAGTAAACACTATGTATATAAGGTAAACAAAAACAAAAACTCCCGTAACACGCCATATAACTAATTTCTATTATGATCAGTACCAAGCAGCTGGCGCATGGGGGTAACAGCAAAAACTGAAAAAAAGTGTTTTTAGAATGTTATTCATAATTGCTAAGGTGTATAACTGTTTAATAGTAAATAGATTGCAGATGGGAAAGTACGGGGCCTATGCATCATTATTTTTATAACACCTTTTTGAGACGTAATTAATTTCTGAAGGTAAGAATCAGCTGCAGAGCCCCATGCCAATATGCCATATTGCAGGATTGATTGTATAATTCCAAAATAAAATATCTTAATAGTTTTGAAATCGCATACATGACGTAATCTTTTGAACATGTAAGTACTACGCCGAATCTTGTCAACCATCCTTGCAATATGAGCATTCCATCTCAAATGATTGTCAATTAATACACCCAAATAAGTAGCAACTTGCACAGATGTAATCCTTTTACAATTGCAATCTACCACACAACAATCATTTTCATGAATTGGAAGGCTAGAAAAGCTATTAGTGGTATCCTTTCTGATGGTAAATCTCATAAAATATGACTTGCTATCATTTAAAATAAGTTTACTGCTATTTAGCCAGTTATTTATTAATCTCAAATCTGCTATAGCTTTATCTTCAACATCTGCCCAAGAACGGCCTTCCACAAACAAAACGGTATCATCCGCATAAGAGATTAAGTCTCCATTGAGTGTTAATGAAAGCAAGTCATTTATATA